TAGGTTCATTATATTTACATGTTTTTTTGTGCCGATTTTCTGTATATAAACTTGTTAAACTATTAAAACTGACCAATTTGAAATATTCAATTTACTTTTTAATTACTTTTAATAATTATTTCTGTTGTTATCATATATATTCAATTAATATAAAGTATTTGATTTGAAAGATGTGTTTGATTTAATATAATTATATGTTTCAAGAAACACAACTAGAAATAATGATAATCATATTGATATTGTGAACATTGATTTGGTTTGTGTGTATTGTTTGAAGTGATGTTTCGTTTAATTTGCATTTGAATATCATTTATCGTAATCACATTTTAAGCCATTATGTATTAGTTTGGCATTAAATGGCAACTAATTTTTTAAATTACACTTTAATGCAATATTTTTACATTTGCAACACATTTTTGGAAAACCTTTTTTTAATATTTATTTGATATTTCTCTATATTTGACATAATTATTCTCAATAACATATACTTTATATACTTTTATTGTATATATAATATTAGAACAATTGGATGAAAATACAGGTATTGTTTTAAAAATGTCGAATAATGCTATTATGATATAATAATCATATGATTATACGATTGATTTGTAATTAACAAATATTTATATTGTATAAACAATTAAAACACACATCAATAAAACAACTCTATTATACAGTATTGTCAAAACAGTCAAAATATTATAATAATTAGTGTGAATATTAGCGAATCATTTCACACAAATCACACCTTTATTTGTCATGGATTTACGTTTATTTTGAACAAAATAGCAAATATTGAAAATATTTTTAAAATGTGTTTCATTTGGTGACAATTGTCAACCATTTATAGAGTAAACTGTAATTTATGATTACATTTACATTCGCAACACTTTCACAATTCAAACTTTCATCATTTTGTTTTTAGTGAATAGATTTGCTATAGACTTGTTATAGAGATGTTATAATTTATAAGTTTTGCTCCAATTCTTTGCTTATGACTCGAATATTTTATTAAGCAATGATTTATCAAATTTAATATTTATTTTACGCAAAAAATAGTTGATTTTCTTCCATTTATTTTAAATTACATTTAAATTACATTTCCATCATTTTTGAAACATGAACAATTGCTAAATTGTTACACTTTTTTAATTGTAATAATTATTATTCTTACAACTCTTATAACTTAATTTGATAAATAATCGGTGCAATCAATAGTTGGCCAAAATGTTGGATCTTTTCTCAGGCCTTAAACGAATCATAAAGAGAAGAGCGGTTCATATCGATAACGCCGTGTTTCGTCTCCATTGGCTCTTAACTTCAGTTATTTTAATTGCATTTTCTGCTGTCATAACTGCCCGACAATATGGTTAGTAATTATATAATGTGTTACCAAATGTTAATTTATACTGTATAAATTATACAACTCTTAAATATATATACAAATGTATATATAACTTTATATTATATTAATGTTGTTTCAATTGAGATGGTATAAGTTAATAGCAAGTTTTCAAGTTTATTTCGATTTCTTAGCAGTATTATTTAAATTTCAGCTAATTATTTGTTTTCTTAATGTTTAATATATTATATAATGATTTGATTTGTTAAACAGTATTATATCTACAATAATTAACTGATAAATTTTTTAAAGTTATATTTTAAAATATTTCATATAATTACATTAAATGGCATATCTAAACATTTTACTTATTGAAGAATTGATATATCATAGCACACATAGTCTTTCACACAAAGCTCAATGAATTTTTAAAAAATTGCTTAACATTTATTTGTTTTAATATTTGAAATTTTGATCACAATTTGGGAGCATTAGATACATTGCTATAATTATTTTTCAATAATTTATATAAACAATTTTGAGCATTTGAGTTTATAAAAATATTTTTATTATTTGTTACTATTTAACATACAGAGCTGTCAGTATATTTATCCAATTTTCTGTATATTTTTATTTATTTAAAGGAGCTTGGACAAATTTTAATGCATAAAATGCCACAATTTTGATGTAAAAATGATTATTTATTTTTAATTTATAAATCAACTGTAATATGTGAATTGCCTATACTGTAGATTTGTTTATTATAAATTATAACAAATATGTACATTTAATTGTAATACTAATCAATTAATTAATAATAATAATTAAAATGAATGTTATATTTGAATAGTTGGTCAACCGATTGATTGTTTAATAGAAACGAATCAAATTCCAGATTCTATGATCAATACGTAAGTGTTTATTGTTTGTTATATTGTATGATTCAAATGTGCCTAACATAACCTAACCTAACCACCGGCATCTCTAAAGGTTGCGTTCATTGTTCATTCATCTATGCAGTACTTTATACACATTACAATATATACATTATGTAGCTTATAGATTATAAGTTATAGTGTTAGGTTAGAACCCATTCATTTATCGAGAGAAAATCTTATTGAAAAATGAACGCGACCTTAGCAATGCCGATCGCTAATTAAAATACATTAATTATTATTGCTTTAATTAATCCTAGTAGTAAATTAAACAGGATATAGTATATCATTAAAATATAGTATACCTAGGATATAGGATATAGTTTATTAATTTAATAATAAACTTTTCACAATATTAAAGTCAATATGACAATCTCTATATGACTGTACAATATTGCACTTTAATTATGTAAATTTGTAAAATATGTAAATTGTTATAATTAGTAGATTTAACAGAAATATTCAATTGTTTTATAATTTATACAATTTGTAGCTATTGTTGGATATCTCAGACATTTCTAATCCCGTCTGCATTTAACAAAAGAGTTGGTGTAGAGGTTCCGCATCCAGGAGTTGATAATTCACGAAATCTGGCCACAAATGATCGCAAATATTATGCTTATTATCAATGGGTTTGTTTCGTGCTCTTCATTCAAGGCGTACTTTTTTACGTAATTACAATTATTATTAAATTTGTATTACAATTATATACAAACTAAATAAGTATTTGTTTTATTATTTGTCTTTAGGTTCCGTATTATTTGTGGAAAGTATGGGAAGGAGGGCTCATGAAGTCCATCACAATGGGAATGCAAATTGCAATACTTGCTGATGAGGTATTCTAGTCATATAGAGTTAAAT